TTTCTGTTCCAGTAAATGCTCACGTTTAAGTTTTATCTATAATTATATGTAATTAGATCTATAAGCAGGTTTAATCATCATAAATGTGCTGACATCAACCAAAGTCCAACCTGCTGATTACACCTTGCAAGATTACAGCTTGAATGTTTTGATCAGGACTCCTAACAAGCTGTATGTGGAAAGACAAGGGTGCAGCATCCAACAGCTGCATAACATTGCTGCAGCATTGTACAAATGTATTAATTAACAACAGTATGAATGAAGAACTGACATGATCTGGTCCGGACCAGTGGGTCTGTCATTTGTTCGAATCTGCAATCTTCCACAGCACCGTTCAATTGTATGTAAATAACAACTAGTGTTGGGAAATACCTAAAACAAACCTGATTTCATTTCCTTGTGCAATTCACATAAATGCTAAATTAAAACTCTATCTGCGCTGTGCCATGCAGTCCTGTTTTTATCACCATGAATAAAAACATAACTGGATCTCTGAGCAAGATAAGAGCTGGAATGTTTTGATCTGGACTCATGGAGATTTTTAAAAAGACAGTTCTTGTGTTGGTATAAGCAATCTTCCTTTCGTCAGGGGTATTGCTTATTTGTATGTAAACTATTTAAATGAGGAAAAAAAAATCTAGACACAATTTTTACAACCAGAATGTGTAAAGATTTGAATTTTTGAACCCTGTCTTTGAAATATGAACTTGAATTTTTTTTTTTACCTTGTATTTTTCTTACACATTTGCACAATCACTTGTGGAACCATTATTTATTTTTATTTTTGTCAGACCTGTGGCAAATGCATAGTATTAAACACCCAATCAACTTTTCTCCAAATGAAGGTATACTCAGGCTTTTACCATCTTATTGTGAAATTATCCATCTCTTAAGCTAAACTTAAAACACCAAAATGAGAGAAACTCTGAGACATTAGTTTTTTAATTGTATAAAATGTTAGCAAGAAGTAATTTTACATGTGATCATTCTTTATTCACTCCTCACACTGTATCATATCTAATACATTGTTATAGTCTTCCTAAAATTTCCACAAAGAACCACACAGATAAATCATTTTAAGTTGGATGTTAAGAGTTTATCACAAAGATGTATTTTATGTTGATGGTTCTACAAGTGTATATACAATGTATACAACTAGAAGAAAAAAAAAATCACATTT